TTGACAGCATTGTAAGATCTTCTTGCCTGGCCTAGTGTTTGGTGGGGTTTGGGTTATCTTTTTACAACATGTTAAGTTAGACTTGCTGGCTTCGGGTTGGGAAATTCCTGGAAATGTGGGGGTGGAGCCTGGAGAGGGCGGGGTTTGGGGAGGGCCCTCAGCAGAGTACAAGGCCATTGAGCCGACCCTCCAAAGAAGCCGTTTTCTCCAGGGGAACTGATCTTGGTTGCAATTCTGGGCGATCTCCAGGCCCCACCTGGAGGATGGCAACCATATGCTACATGTTCTCCCTCCAGTCTTTTAACTTCTATTGGCCCGTTTTACGCAAGCGTTCTTTGCAGTGGACAGAGGTGGCTATTTTTGTGTCTCCTTCAATAGACAACATCAGTGGCTCAAAGTCTCTGGCGGCAGGAGAGAGTTTTCCCTTTTTAATGACCATTTGTCTTTTCTTTTAAACAGCAGGTGTGGCATTCATGGCTGAAGCCACCGGCGGGACACCAGCTCCCCGGCCGCCCGTAACCTGGCACAAGGTAAGGTGGCGTTGCCTGGACCTTGCCTCTGAGTTCATAATCGCTTCCCGGCTGCTGTAATAACCGTTTAACAACCAAGAGGAAGCACTTTTACAGCCGGAGCATTAAATGTTTTTTTTTGCCTAATGATTGAAAATAGTAAAATCCTAGCCTCTGATGGCCAAGGCTGCGTTAAAGCGGGGAGCAATAAGGGCCGCCGTTTAGGCAGGACCGATGCATACCTATCGATAAGCTTCTGCTTCCAGGCCACACAGCCAGAGCTGGTTTTCCCTGTGGCCCAAAGTGCCAGGCCGCTAGAGGGAAGCACATAGCAACACAGGAAGATGAGCACATACAAGATCATACTTTTTTTTTTGCTTCATTAATCTGGGGTAATGCTGCGGCCGCCCCCTCGTAGATCGTAGATCGTAGATCGTCCCTGTCCCACTCCCAGATCTGCATGGAGTGGTTCAGCCATTGTACTCTGTTTTTAAAGTTTAAAAAAGTGATTAAAGTAAGTGTTGCGGGTAACTAATCCATATTGGTTGCATATCGAGCTGGGGGGGGCGAAGGGGGAGGAAGGAAGATGGCATGATGGGAGATTGGGGAGAGGCAGGAAGTAGGGTGGGGCTGCCAACAACCTAGAGGATAAATGTGCTGCCCCTTTTATTTTATTTTAAATTAACATTTTATTGTTTTAAACTGATAAGCATTACACAGGGAAAAGCCAATAAATTGCAATTCAGCAGTGAAAGCAAGTAATAAGTAACACGTAAGTCTACATTTTCACAGGGTTAACACAGAATGGTCAATATTAGGAGGGAATAACTTTTAACAAGAGATGTACACACGTAAGGAGACTCATATATGTAGATGTAGCGTTACACATAATGACCTCGTAATATGGATAATATACCGTAGATAATTAGTAGGACTGCTTTGGCAGGTAGACTTTTCCATAAAGGTAAAGGTTTCCCTTGCTCGAAAGCCAGTCAAATCCGACTCTAGGGGATGGCGCTCATCTCCGTTTCCAAGCCGAAGAGCCAGCGCTGTCCGAAGACATTTCCATGGTCATGTGGCAGGCATGAATAAACGCTGAGGCACATGGAACGCTGTTACCTTCCCACCAAAGTGGTACCTATTTATCTACTTGCAATTTCTTTCGAACTGCTAGGTTGGTAGGAGCTGGGGCCAGAGACGGGAGCTCACTCTGTCACGCGGCACTTGGGTCTCGAACTGCCGAACTACAGATCTTCCGGTCTGCAGCTCAGCATCTTGACCTCTGAGCCACCCCAGCCATAGCATATTCTAAAAATGGTATCCACTTGTCCAACATATTGGAAAAGTCTAAATATGGATCGGTACGAGATATGGAATCCGCTATTTTGTCCATCCGAAGTATTTCCTAAACCTTAAGATACCAGTCATCAATTGTAGGCGAGGTAGGTTTTTTCCCCAGTTCATAGCTAATACCCATTTAAACAACTATAAGAAAATGTCATCTTTTAGGGATCAACGGGGCTTCCCACAAGTCAATTAAAACCAGGTTTCATGTGTCACATTGGGAAGGCGAAGCTTTTCAAGGCGTATTATCACCTGCTAAATAACGTCCCAATAGTAAGCAGGATAGGACATCTGAAAAAGCGAGCAGTGACTCACGAAAGCTCACACCCTGCCACAAATTTTGTTAGTCTTTAAGGCGCTACTGGATTCTCACTCTTTTCTACTGCTACAGGCTAACACGGAATGCCCATCACCAATCCTAGACTACCTGAAGTCGCAAGGTGTGATTCCCGCTACGGCTGATAATTTGGACCTGATAAATCTCTGATTAGCCTTATGTTAGGTCTACAGTCTGTTCTGTGGAGTGTAGTTATAGTAATTTATTCAGTTAGATCCTTGTTGTTTTATAAAGTAGCTTATATGAACCTTTTTTTAATTATGGGGGGGTGAGGGGAACCCGGGGGATTATTGAAGTTATTTTTAATGTAAATTTTGTCATATTTTTAAATAATTTTAAAAAAACTAAAAAAAAATAGGATAAACATAAAAAAAAAAAAACACGGAATGCCCATCTTGGTCTAGGAAATTTATACCCTGCCCTTCACTACCTGAAGGAGTCTCAGAGCGGCTCACAATCTCCTTCCCCTTCCCCCTCCCCACCACAGACACCCTGTGAGGTAGGTGGGGCTGAGAGAGCTCTTTCGAGGACTGCCCTTGAGAGAACAGCTCAGAGAGAACTGCGACTGACCCAAGGTCACCCAGCTGGCTGCATGTGGAGGAGTGGGGAATCAAACCCGGTTCTCCCAGATTAGAGTTCCCCACTCCTAACCACCACACCAAACTGGCTCTCAGGACATTTTTGGTTCTCCAGGTTGTCAGCCCTACAGTCAGGGTGAGGCGTCCCACTACAGGTAGCGGTTTGTTGGGGGTGCCATTGAAGGGCAATGGATTGCCTGTCATACAAACGAATATATTTTAACATCTGTGGGACCCCGTTTGGGTTTTCCGTCACAACACAATGTGGCTCACCCAGCAGAGAAATCTCTGGAATTAAAAATTCAGGGAGGACAGAATGTGAAAGTGCAGTTTGGTGTAGTGGCTAAGTAAAGGTAAAGGTAAAGATCTCCCTTGCTCGAAAGCCAGTCGAGTCCGACTCTAGGGTTGCGGTGCTCATCTCCGTCTTAAAGCCGAAGAGCCAGCGCTGTCCGAAGACGTTTCCGTGGTCATGTGGCCGGCATGACTAAACACCAAGGTGCACGGAACGCTGTTACCTTCCCACCGAAGTGGTACCTGTTTATCTACTTGCAATTTCTTGCTTTTGAACTGCTAGGTTGGCAGGAGCTGGAACTAGAGACGGGAGCTCACTCCATCATGCGGCACCCGGGTCTCGAACTGCTGAACTACTGACTTTCCACAGCCTGCAGTTCAGCGTCTCAACCAGTTGAGCCACCGCAGCTCCTAGTGGCTAAGTGCGCGGACTCTAATCTGGGAGAACCAAGTTTGATTCCCCACTCCTCCGTTTGCTGCTGCTGGATGATCTTGGGCAAGCCATAGTTCTGGCACAGCTTTTCTTGAAAAAGAGCAGTTTCTGTCAAGAGCTCTCCCAGCCCCACCTACCTCACAGGGTGTCTGTTGTGGGGAGGGGAAGGGAAAGGAGTTTGTAAGCCGCTCTGAGACTCCTTTGGGTAGTGAAGGGCGGGGTATAAATCCAATCTCTTCTTTCTTCTCTTCTACATGTGTCAGGGGGCTTTCTAGGGTCATTTGGCTGACCCCCTTGGGAACAAGATCCTGGGCTGCCGTTGGGGGGGGGGGAGAGCAAAGGCTCTTCCTGGATTGTTTCTGCAAAACTGGGCATGGCAGGCCCATTGTCTTTTGCACGGCTGTATACCCAAATAAGAGCCATTTCAACTTCCTCTGTAAAGCGAGATGTATACATAACTTTGCCCACGGAGCAAAGTCTGGGAGTTTGAGAAGGACTGTTAAGAGCCGTGCAGCGGGTGTGCGCCATGCACGTGATTAATAGACAAAAGAGGTTCTGTGCATAGAAACATACACAATACATTTTGAATAGTTAGCATATAGCGGTGACAGGAATGCGCGAGAGAGCCATTAGATTCCCACTCGGAAGGAAAAAATGATTTTTCCCCCCCAAAGTTTTTTTTTTTTAAAAGACATCTCACCAAGAATTGCACCTCCTGTAATAATTAAAAGCCGGCGGCGTGAGCCATTCCCCGGATTGTAATGCACAGTTACGATTTCTTGGGGTGAATATTTCACAGCGCTTTGCAGAAGAAAGGCAGGGTGCATATTTTCAGGCAGGCCGTATATAGAGCCCCAGCTCTTTTGATTTAGCAATAACACAAATCTGTATTTTATTCTGATCCACCCCCACCCCCCAAAATGCATGCATAAGAATGGGCTAATAAATACTATTAAATGACAGTTTTGTGGGTTTTTTTAGCTGCGGCAGATAGTTTGGGGTGGGGGCAAGGTTCCCTCTAAGCAGCAGAGTCCTGTGAGCAAAAACTCTACTTTGTGAGCGACTGGCATTGAAGTCAAGCGATTGGGCTACTGCATAAGTCAGTTTGCTCCGGAAGCCCTCCTTCCTGAGCTCGGACAAAATGTGTGAGCCGGAGGCTAAAAAAGTGTGAGCTGGCTCACACTAAGTCAGCTTGGAGGGAACACTTGGGGGGTGCTATTGGAAAGGGGCGGCCGCTCTTTTGTAATGCCAGTAGCTCACAAAGTAGAATTTTTGCTCACAAGACTCCATAGCTTAGGGGGAACATTGGTGGGGGGTGCCCCCGCCCCGGCGAGAGGCCGCCCGGCGCCTTTAAAACCCCTCCCCTCCCTCTCCCGCATGGGAGTTGTAAACAGTTGCCTCCCCCGGCCTCTTTGCCACCACGCCACGCCCCCCGCCGCCGCTGGCCCGGCCCCTCTGCCCGCATCTCATTAGCATAGATTAACGCTGGGGGAGCTCGAGTGCAGGTGCAGAGACGGGCGCGCGAGAGAGCGAGGGAGACCGGAGGGGAAGCGCCGGAGCCTCATCATGCGTTCGGCGGGGAGCGGCGGCCACCACTCGCCTTCGGTGGCTGCGGCGGTGCTGGCCGCGGCCGGGATTGCGCTGCTGTGCGTGGCCGGCGGAGGTAAGAGCGCGGCGAGCCTCTCTCTTCTCTCTGCCTGCCTTCCTCTCTCCCCGGCGGCGGCTGCTTTTGCTTCTGCTCTCTGGCGTTCCCCGCTTGTCCTCTACGGGGCTGCGAAGCGCCCCTGCAGCCAGCCGGGCTGCGCGCAAAGAGAGGAGGGGGGGAGGTTCTTCCAACCCGCGATCGATCAAAGGGGCATCGGGCTCGAAGCGGGAGCCTCCCCCCCCCCCAATATTCCCCACTCCTCCTCCTCCGTGCT